GAAATCAACTTACCGGGACCATCCCCAGCACATTAGGACTTGTTCAGACTCTTGAGGTTCTGTGAGTAAAAACCTCCTCATATTCATCTTTCTATTCATTTTCACACTGTGATTTCGGTCAGCATCTCATCGAATTCGTTTAACTGAAACTTTCTCAATCTGCAACAGCCGGCTTGATAGAAATGATCTCTCAGGAGAGGTACCGTCAAGTCTCAATAACCTTTCAAGCGTCAATGAATTGTAAGTCTTTGTTCTTCAAGAAGATGTGAAATTTTTAATACGAAAGTTTGCTGGTTAATCAATTTTCTTCCTCTTTCAGGAATTTAGCTCACAACAATCTAACAGGCCCTATTCCAAACTTCGGTCAACTGAATTCCCTCAATTATGTGTGAGTTAAAGACACAAAACTTACCATTTTCAGTTGATTTCTCACAAAAAAAATATTTTTCTCGTGGAGAATTTCTCTGATCAATGGCTTACCTTTCAGGGATCTTAGCAACAATTCTTTTGATCCATCAGAAGCTCCACTTTGGTTCTCAACCTTAACATCACTCACCACTTTGTAAGTCTTCTGTCAATCTCAGATTAAAATTCTGAAAATCACTTCCCTCAAAAGCACTTTCAAATCTCATTCTGGAGCTCTATATTCTATATTCTATTCAGGATTGTCGAACATGGGTCACTTCAAGGGACTGTTCCACAGAAAATCTTCAGTTTTCAGCAAATACAACAAGTGTAAGTTTTTATTAAGACCAGCAGAAGTTTCCAAATGATTTTGGGAAATAGAAAGCTATGAATCTTAATTTAGTTCTTATACTTTTTCGCAGGAAACTGAGGAACAACTCTTTTAATGACACATTGAACCTAGGAGACACCATTGGTCCAGATTTGCAGCTTGTTGATTTTCAGAACAACAAAATCTCTAAACTAACAGTGGATTCAGGATATAAAAACTATACATTAATGTAAGACATTTTGTAAGCTTTAAGTTTCATCGAGTGATAATGTGTTTATCCATTGCATCATTCTTACTTGTCGATCGATGTTATTCTCTTCAGACTTGTAGGGAATCCTGTATGCTCCTCAGATCTCTCAAATATGAACTACTGCCAGGTTCAGCAACAAACTGCAAAACCATATTCGACCAGCCTGGCTAATTGTGGAGGCAGATCATGTCCGCCAGATCAGAGGCTCAGCCCTCAGAGCTGTGAATGTGCCTATCCATTTGAAGGGACAATGTATTTCAGAGGACCCTCCTTTAGGGAATTGTCCAATGTGAGCCTGTTTCATGAATTAGAGATGAGCATGTGGGTGAAAATGGAGCTCAATCCTGGTTCAGTCTTTCTTCAGAATCCCTTCTTCAATACCGATGACTACCTTCAAGTGCAGCTTGCACTCTTTCCGTCTACCGGAAAGTACTTTAACAGGTCAGAAATTCAGAGGATAGGATTTCAGTTCAGTAATCAAACCTACAAGCCTCCCAAGGAGTTCGGTCCCTACTATTTCATCGCCAATCCTTATCCTTTTCCAGGTAACTAACTGCTTCTCTCTATTCAGTGTAAAATTAGTACTACGTCATAGAATGATGAACTGACTAGACAAACAACAAATATGTTTCAGAGTCACATAAAGGAGCTTCTCTTAGCACTGGTGTGATCGCTGGCATAGCAAGTGGAGGTGCCCTTCTGGTTCTAGGCCTTCTGGGAATCGGGATATACGCTTTCCTGCAAAAGAAACGTGCAGAAAGAGCCATCGGAATGAGTAAACCATTTGGTAATTCATCTTCTGTCAAATCAGTATGTTTCTAGTTGAGCAACATGAGAAAGTTTTAGTCATATCGGTTATATTCTTTGCTCTGCAGCATCCTGGGCACCCAGTGGCAAAGACAGTGGAGGTGCACCACAGTTGAAGGGAGCAAGATGGTTCTCTTATGATGAACTTAAAAAATGCACCAGTAATTTCTCCGAAAGCAATGAGATAGGGTCCGGAGGCTACGGCAAGGTAAATGATTTTTGCTCTATTTTCTACTCCCTGAAGAGGATCTAAAAAGCTGCTAAGTGATGTTGTTATGTGCCCTCCAGGTCTATAGAGGAATGCTTTCTGATGGACAAGTAGTGGCAATCAAAAGAGCTCAGCAAGGATCAATGCAGGGAGGGCTTGAGTTCAAGACTGAAATCGAATTGCTTTCGCGCGTTCATCATAAGAATCTCGTTGGCCTTGTCGGTTTCTGTTTCGAACAAGGAGAACAGATGCTAGTTTATGAATTTCTCCCCAATGGAACTCTTAGGGAAAGCTTGTCAGGTACTAGACCTTCTCTTGAACTAGAAAACAGACAGTTCAATATTTCACGAAAAAATAAGTTTTTGACATTGATCATGCTAAAGAGAATTCATTTCTACATTTCCAGGGAGATCCGGCATTCATCTTGATTGGAAACGAAGACTTCGCATCGCTCTTGGCTCAGCGAGAGGACTGGCTTACCTACATGAGCTTGCAAATCCTCCTATCATCCACAGAGATATCAAGTCCACCAATATTCTGTTGGATGAAAATTTAACAGCTAAGGTTGCAGATTTCGGCTTGTCTAAGCTTGTATCAGACAGTGCAAAAGGACATGTTTCAACTCAAGTTAAAGGCACACTGGTAAGTATACAAAATCCATATCTTTTGTTGGGTTTTATAGGTTTTTATTTTACTCATATTGATGTCGAAATGGTGTCCGGTTGCAGGGTTATCTCGATCCTGAATATTACATGACTCAACAACTAACGGAGAAGAGTGATGTGTATAGTTTTGGAGTGGTTATGCTAGAACTTGTATCGGCTAGGCAACCGATAGAGAAGGGAAAGTACATTGTCCGTGAAGTTCGAATGATGATGGATAAGAGTGATGAAGAGCATTATGGATTGAAGGAGATAATGGATCCAACCATTAGAAACACAGGACTTATAGGTTTTAGAAGGTTTCTGGATTTGGCAATGCAATGTGTTGAAGAATCAGCTGCAGATCGTCCGACGATGAGTGAGGTGGTTAAGGCAATCGAAACCCTTTTACAGAATGATGGATTGAACACAAACTCAACTTCAGCATCATCATCTGCAACAGATTTTAACTCTACAAAAGGTGTTATTAGACAAATTTATGGCGAAAACTTGCCGAAAAAGGATGTCAATGACAGTGATCATGCCTTTGATTACAGTGGCGGATATACACTTTCTGCAAAAGTTGAACCCAAGTAACACACAAGTCTCAAGCTGATCTTCCTCTTTTCATTTAATTTTTTATCTTTAGATATTTTGTCTTCGTTACGAAAATGTTGTATGTTTACATTGATTGTTTTTCCAGAGCAACAAGTTCTGTCGCTGTTAGATATCAAATCAAATTCATATAGTTTACTCAATCCTGTCATGCTAAAGTTAGGATTATTTAGCGAAAAGAGTGACTTGTTAATTGTCTCAGATTGTGACTATGCTTAGAAGAAGAAAGAGAATAAGACTATATTATTTTTCTATTCTTTGCATTGAGCTATAGGATGAGAGTTGTTTTCTGGTGTTCAAATTCAATACAGGAAAGCTCCAAGGACTCGTTCCAACAAGCCATTTCAACTTCTCGCGGTTAAAGCTAAAACAACAACAGCATCTCGCTGTCTCACGCTGTCTATATGTGTTGCCTAAGATGACGGCTTTAGGCTTTTCTCACTAAAAAGATTCGGTCTTCAATATGTCAAGTGTATGTGTAATTGATTCAATACGTCAAGTATGTGCATCGATTCAATCACAACACGTCATGTGTCAAACATGCACGTACATAGTAATTGGATACATTCGCGAGCACACAATATAATAGGATAGGTGCACATCAAACATGTATGTGTGTTATATGATTAAACAAACATACATCCTTCAAAATAGAATATACTGTGTCGTAATCGAATAGACACACATCCTTTGGATTACCCAGAACTTTCCAACATTTAGTTAGAAAGTTATTGAATATGACCAAATCGCTCCCAAGAACTAGTCTTGCAGGAGCTTGTCATTGCCAGCTTATTTCCCTTTTTTATTACCACCTAATATCACAGAAATGCCAAATGGATCATCATGCATAGGACAGACAATATGGTCAACAGCTCCACTTCTGACCAGGTTAATTTAAGCTCTCAAATCCATTTGATCCATTCAAAATCCTTTTGTTTAGATCCACAAATGACACCTCAACTTCCACTACAATATCTTTGTTTGACCTTATTATGAAAAAAAATTAGTTGCCTTTCGATACAGACTAGACTTAGCTGCTGCACGCTCTCTTTATTGAGCACTTTAGCCAATTAAATTGAACCGGCCTCATTGCAACTAGAAAATAATTCCATAGCACGACTTTTTCAAACACCTTTTCAGGTTTTTTTTTTTTGATAAATTAAGGAGCTCCAATTTGACCCTTTTGCTCCTAACCCACTAACTTAAGCTTTTAGATGAAATGATTATGTTTTGTGGGCGAAAGATGCTTACATTGCATTAGTTATGGATGTTACATTTTTGTCCGAGTCTACTGTATTCGGATTTAATTTGGTCTGATAAATGCACCTCGATTAATTTAAGAGAAGCTATCCCATAACAATCCACCGCCATAACCCCTTAGGTGAATCATAAGCAAAGGTACTTACCTTTGCAACCAGCAGAGAATCAAACTTGATATTGTGGGTTGAAACCATGCACAGTCCATTTGGTTTGCCCTTACCGTTGGACTACCCATGAATGGGTAATAGTTTGATCTTTACCCATCAAGTGATATCGTTAACAACCTTTATTGGTCGAGTGACATCGTTAACATTGAGTAGTACCATTTTTCCAGAAATAAGATATTCTTTTGTAGATGCTGAGTTCATAAACGCATAAAAGACGATGTAAATTAAACTATCTTAACCCACAAAAGATTTCATTAAGATTCTGAACCATCCATTATTACAGAAATGGAGCTCACACATAGCTACATTGCACAAATAAACACAACTATATATATTCCTTTCTTCATATCTAAAACCCTTAAAGATATTACCACTACTTGCTTCGTTCCTTCGGCGGCTTCACAATGGTGATAGGGCATATGGCATGATGCGCGCAATAGTCGCTTACACTGCCCAGAAATGCTCTGCAAATAATAGGAAATAAATTTTTAACTACTGCAATTGCATTTGAATGGATCAAGATGTTTTAGTTCAATTTGGACCAACTCATTAGTGTGCTTCCAGTTATTGATCATACAAATAGGCAGACCTATTTTATTTCGTTATTGGTTAGCTCGTAAATAGATAGACGGTATCCATGCAAACAGGCAGACCTATTTTATTAGCTAGCCAACAGGCAGACCTATTTTATGAGCTAGCCAATGACAAGCTACTATATTGGAGGTTGTGAGATTGAGTTATAGACCTAACATTACTTTACATGTTAATGATTATGCGAATGCGATGGATCATACTTATAATACAAAAGTAATCAGTCACCTTTTAATCTTGCCGAGGCCGCGGCTTCCGAGAACAAGAAGATCAATGTGCATTTGTTCCGCAGCTTGACAAATCATGTCCTTTGGATCTCCATTAAGAATCAGAGTTTCTGCTTTCACCTGCACCAAGTTACATGTAACTAAATACCTAGAAATTGTTGTTCTTGTAACGAATCTACTAATTTATACTTAGCTTTTATGCATAAATAAGTGATTAATTACCAGCTTATCTTTGCACATTTGTAGTGCGCGAGAGAGTAGAGCTGCAGAATTTTCTTCCTGGGCTGTCCTCACAGAGTCCACCATTGAAGGTGTTGCATAAAATGCTGCTAACAAATTCTTATATTTAGCAAAAAATTTACAACCACCAAAATCAAAATCTACTCGGGCCTTCCTGAAGGGTTTGATTATGTTATTGGATTGTAACATTATTAGATTAGAATGTACACCATATGTTAAGATTTCAATTCAACAATAACCATACCGGCATAGCTCATTATTCGAGCTAGCTTGGCCTCAAAAGTAATAACCATACTACTTATTTATGAAGAAATCTACTTACCCACCCCTAGGTGGATGGGTGAGGTAATAGAAACTCTTGGGTGTATTACTCAAGAAATCTTGAATTTGATTCCCTCAAGAATAGCTACTAAAAGGTTTATGCGGTCGTTAAATGTAGAACCCCAGGTGCATTACTCAAAAAGTTTTAAGTTTGATTTTCTCCTGTTAAATTTAGAACCTCTAGCGATTTACACATTTTCTTAGCAATACATTGTAATTTTCTTTAGCTCAACAAATTTTTTTTTTTTTTTTTCAGTTTAACATAATAGAAAATCAACAAAATCAAAGTTAAAATCCAGAAAACTAGCTTCTTAGGGTCCTAGCAAGTTTTAATTTTTAGTGGATTCAGATTTTATGTCCATACTTGAGAATATTCGTGCTGTAATTAATTACTCACTTGCACCACCGGGACCAGCGGGGAAGACGAAGTGCTGAAAAGGATGTTGAACATGAACCAGAGAGAGTTTGTAGCCATCGGAGCCATCCTGGCTCGCTTCCGGAGCTATACAATAAAGATTATCGAGACTCCATTTCAGTGCGTAAAAGCTCTCTTCACTATCGTCAATTCCCACCATCACCTTCAGTTTCTTCTTCTTCTCTGGCTGCATTATCGCTTCCGACGTCTCTGCTGCAGCTATACTCGTCGTCTCCATTGATGATCAGTGTCAGTTGTCTGAATCAACCATGGATTTGTTTGAAGTTGATCTTCTTTATATAAAGAGAGACAGAGGCAGACGGATATGGATAGTGATTCAAAATTTTGGATTTTTGCTGGAGTCACGTGGAAGTTTGTAGTGACAGATATGAAATTTCTGCTGGACATTTGGCTTCCGTGCATGCAAATGAAAAGTTCCAGTTGCCACATCATGAAATTTCGGAGTTGATTCTTTTTAGTCTGTGTGATTTCACTTTATTTTAAGGACAAATGTTTCAAATACTGAACTTGTGGTCTTATATTAGGAGTAAACGACATATTCCCACCCAAGATTTGACGAAATCCCAAGTTAGTACCATAGGTTCCATTTATTCCAGATTCTCACCCTTAAAGTGACGGAAAAACATTTGATGTAACGGTAAAGGGGTAAATTGGTCATTTTACATGGGCAGCGCATGTTAGCAGACCACTGCCTGTAACAGTCCTCTGGCGCACATTAGCAGTCGACATTCTGGATGTTTTTCGCTCTTTTTTCGGCGATTCTTTCACCCAAAATCACCCTTGTCACCACCATTTGACTCCTTGCATCCTCCCTTACAAAACTCCTAACCTTTATAGGCACGGCAGCTCATCGTTTGCCGTCCACCACTTCATCGAAAAACGACCGATGAACACGAACTTGGCCGGTGAATGACAACAAAACGGTTGCTAGGGACATAGGGGTTTTATAGATTTGGAGACGGTGTTTGCATTGGTGATGTCCAATTGGATTTTCGTCACCGAAATCAACCAGAATCCGATAGCCTAACGGCGCTAGCTATTAGAGGGGCAAATGAGTCAGGAACCAGAGGGGCTTTGGACGACGGACTACAGGAAAGGTGATGGAGGTGACCAGGGGGTTCGACGTCGTCAAAAACAGCCCAGATCGAGCTATTTCCGACGAGGGTGTTTTTGATATAATTTGAAAATAAAATGGTAAGTTTTATAATTCTTACTAATTTAGGGGTTAAAATATAACTTATTAATTTAGGGTTAAGGGCATTATGGTAATTACATCCTCTAAACCCTAAAAATTCATAACATTGTTACTTTAAGGGTGGGAATCTGAAATAAATGAAACTTATGGTACTAACTTGGGATTTTGTCAAACCTTGGGTGGCAATATGTCGTTTACTCCTTATATTAGTCCTTTGAATCAATAAAAGGTTAATTGACTATTAAATTTATATTAAAATATCAAACATATCCTCTTTTAAAGTTATTAAAATTTTACTAAACATTGATATAAAAATGAAATTTTCAAGAAATTTGTAATAAAATTATGTAGTATAGATATAGTATAGATCGGCATTTAAGTCATTTCACCAAATAAAGTTTAAGGCAAAAGTAAAGAGTTGTGAAGTATCCTATAATTGTGAGCTTATGAAAAAAAAACAAAAAGCGTCCTCCAATTTTCATTGCTCAAAAATGTCCTTTCGAATTGTGAGTTTCTTAAAGTTACTCCGGACGATCATATCCCTTTTGCAACAATTATGCATCTCATACCCATTTTTTTTGTGGAAGTTGATTTCATGATATCTTCTTAATTATACGACGATGGATTAAGTGAATTAACCTATCAAATTAGCTACCACATAAGTTGGGATACAAACCTAACTTTTTCATATATAACATTACTCTTTTTGCAAATGAAAAAATATATGGTATTATATTTGTTATCATATCAACGGTACTGCAAATAAAACAAATATGAAAATTGATTTATACGTTTGGATTTTAAGGGGATAAAAGGTTTTGATTGCATCGTAGTTAATACAATAGTAAAAATGCAATGGTATATAATGAAAAAGTCTATGATACTATTACTATTCATTGAGTTGTGCTAAGAAGGATAACATGATATTTTTATGGCATTGTAGGTTTTTTTTCATATCAACGTTATCATAAGTTAGTGCATGTTTGCTGTGTGAATATTAAATTTAATAATTATTAAGAGCATCTCTAATGATGCTTTTTATTTTGAAGAGCATTTTTCATATAAATAAAAAGCATCTTCGTTAATTTTTAAATATAAAGAATACATTTTTTATTCAAATCCAATAGACTCTTTAAATTTAATAAAGATGCTTTTTATTTTTAAGAAAGAGACTTAATGAGAGAGAGAATTAATAAATAAAATATATATGAACTTGTAGTTTATTAATTAAAATTAGGATAGAGAGTGAAATTTGACTCTCTAAATGTGGAGAGCCAAACTCACTCTGTAATTTATATTTGAAAGATAAAGAGTATGTTGGACTCTTGTTTTTATGGATAGACTCTTTATAATAAAGAGTTTAGATCATATAAAGAGTCATTTGGAGATGCTCTAACTACATTTAAACATAGTATAAAGATAACTGATTAGGTATACCTTAAGAAAGAGGCTAAGGTACGAGAGTACACGAACACATAAATGTTCAATTTAGACAATGGCAAATTATGTTAAATATAAAAATGAATGGGAGATAATAAATTTATACGTAGCACAAACAAGCGGTAGGGGAATTTTTGTTACTTTAGAAACTTTAAACGGTTTTTTGTAATTGTATCATTGCTTAGGGGATTAATGAAGAAAAAATAATCCAATCCCTTGTATAGCCCTACATCCAAAACGTAATAAAGGGTGCATATTATTAATATATTATCTTTTTGTATTTTATTCAGGAGTTGATATCATTTCTCATATTATTATAATAATAAAAAGAATATTATTAAGTTAATATATAAACATATAGTTATTCTTTACCTAACTTTTCTACCTTTTTAATTAAAAAAAAAAAAAGGGAAAAAGAAAAAGGCTGTATTTGTTTGTCAAAAAGTGGAATAAAGTTGTGTCTACATTTGAATTTTATAAAAGTTTTTATTTTATTCAAAGAATTAGAAATATCCAAATCTCAATATATATATATATATATAAAGTTGAATACCCATATGGGTTGATCGACACATGACACATTTTGAAACTTCTAGAATTACTCTATTTTGACACATTGGATTGACAAACTAATCAAATTGCTCTATCTTGACATGTTGAATTGACATTTATTGCTCATCTGTAATTATTAATTAATTAAAAAAAGGGATCTGTATTAATAATTAAAAATAATAATAATAATAATAATATGTGCATTGTATTAGCATTTTAAAGGTCTAACCATAATAACACATTGGATTTATAATTGCCATGTGGTTGAATTTTTTTTTTTTTTTTAAATCAAATGAGTTATATTCATTCAATAGGATCGACTAAGGATCCAATACAATTTGGAACTTCTTCAAGCTCAACCAGTACATCATCAATGGTTAAAGCATTTTTAGCTAAAGTATGAGCAATCACATTGGATGCTCTTTTAACATGATGAACCGAAAAAGTGAGAAAATTCCTGGAAAGCACCTTAGTATCCATAGAAAAAAGACCAGCTTGGCCCCAATTCTCTTCATCCCTAAGGAGATCATTGACTACTTGAAGAGCGTCCCCTTCCAGGATTATTTGGTTGATCCCAATATCTGCTGCTAGAATGACTGCTTGAAGAGCTGCGAAAGATTCAGCCACGTGTGCATCTGGGAGCATGGTTTTTTTCATTCTCATAGTCGCCAGAAATCTGCCTTGCCAGTCCCGAATTGCAATTCCAACCCCAATTGTGCCGTTTTCTTTTCTCACACTTGCATCCCAGTTAACTTTGTAGATACCTTCAGGTGGTGGCTGCCATCTTCGTGAACTGGGATCCGAATTCAGCGGGTGAGCATTTGGAGAGGTCTTCGATTGAATCAAGGAATTTAATATGTCAAGTTCTTGAGTTGCATGGTGAATGAGTTGGGATGGAGTAGATAAAAAATGTTTGAAAGTAAACTTGTTCCTCCTTTGCCAGATTTTTGAGACCACCACTCCAAATTCAGCTAAATACTTTTCCTCAAGTTTGGACAGCAAAACCATAACGAGCTCTCTGAAGTCAGTGAAATTGTTGTTCATCTTTTGAAAGATTATGGAACAGCTTGACCAAATATCCTTGGCAGCCACGCAGCCCAATAAAGCATGCAAGACATCTTCTTCTTCTAAGCAACAGAAGGTGCAAAAAGGTTCCTCAATCACCCTTTTCTTGACAAGGTTACACTTGGTTGGAAGAATGTCTTGGCAAGCCTTCCACAAAAATAATTTCTCGGCATTAGTAATGGGAAGCTTCCATAGCTTCTTCCACTTTTTATTATCATTAGCTGCAGAAGAGGATTGGCCTCGGGATGAGATTTGGGACCCCACTTGCAGGTGATATGCACTCTTTACCGAGAAGAGACCATTTTGAGAGCATCTCCAAACAATTTTATCTGGTCTGTTGAAGATACTAATGGGAATACGACAGATGATGTTAACTTCTGATTCAGAGAACAAATCTTTGAGTAGGTCCAACTTCCAGGACTTTGATTGGGGGTCAATGAGAGTAGCCACCTTAGCCTCCGGGTCCATACCAAGGCATTGGCTTTGAATCTTAAAAGAAGATGCGGAAGGAAGCCATTTGTCTTGCCAAATCCTGACCTTGGACCCATCACCAATGCGCCACATCAAGCCAGATTCCAAAACAGACCTTGCTGCCATTACACTTCTCCAAATAAAGGATGATGACCTTTTAACCTTTGCTTCTAAAAAATTACCGTCAGGATAGTATTTGGCAGATAAAACTTTCGCTGCAAGTGAATTAGGATAATGAAGAAGTCTCCATCCCTGTTTGGCAAGCATAGCCAAGTTGAAGAGTTCTAGGTCTCTGAATCCTAGCCCCCCATCATTCTTTGATAGCTTCATTTTATCCCATGAACACCAGTGAATTCTTTTTTCGTCCTTCTTTTGGCCCCACCAGTAACTTTTAATCAATTTATTCAGCTCTTGTAGGATGGTTTTTGGGATTTTGAAAACACCCATGCTGTATGTTGGGAGAGCTTGGATAACAGCCTTAAGTAGTGTTTCTTTCCCAGCTTG